GGCTGACAATATGAACGGCATAGGCAATATCAGGACGAGTAACAGTGAGATAGACAAGACTGCCAACCAGCTGACGATATAGGGTAGCATCAAAGAGAAGAGTGTCATCAAGAGGTGTAAGACGACTCTGAGGCTCGAGGGGAGTGGAGGCAGTCTTACAATCTGTAAGACCAGCACGGGTGAGAAGATCAAAGGTATACTTAGCCTGAGAGAGAAAAGAACCCGTAGAATCATGGAAGATTTCAAGACCCAAGAAATAGCTGAGAGGACCAAGGTCTTTCATCTCGAAATGATGGCTAAGAAACTGTTTAAGGCGAAGAATACCGTCGATATCATCACCGGTGATAATCATGTCATCCACATAAAGTAAAAGCAGGGTGATCCCTTGAGCTGTTTTCCGGATAAAAAGAGCAGTATCATAAGAGCTGGAGGTGAAACCACATTCATGAATAGTAGAGCTGAACTTGGCAAACCAAGCGCGTGGAGCTTGTTTGAGACCGTATAAGGCACGCTGAAGTTTGCAGACTTTATGAGGTGGATAAGTAGACCCAGGGGGAGGTTGCATGTAGACCTCCTCGAGAAGAACACCATTAAGAAAAGTATTGGTTACGTCCAGTTGATAAAGATCCCATTGGCGGGAGGTAGCAACAGCAATCAAGCTGCGAACAGAGGTGAGACGAGCAACAGGAGCAAAGGTCTCTTCATAGTCAATACCATATTCTTGGTTAAAGCCTTTGGCAACAATGCGGGCTTTGTAGCGCTCAATAGATCCATCAGAACAAGTCTTGATTTTGTATACCCATTTGCAGCCAATGGCAGACTTGCCAGGAGAAAGATCAACAATGTCCCAAGTATGAGTTTTGGCTAAAGCCTGTAATTCAGTAGTCATAGCTTGCTGCCAAAGAGGATTAGAGCGAGCCTCACGATAAGAGGTCGGTTCATAAGTAGAAAAAGTAGTAGAACCAACAATAAAGTCACGAAGATGAGTAGAATGTTGGGTTACCCAGCGTGGTCGAGTAGACGGAGGAGGAGCCAGAGGAAGAGACTCAGCAGGAGGGGAGGAGCCCGAGGGAGCAAGAGCAGGACCATCAGAGGGAGCAGGGGCATGGGACAGACCAGGAGGCAAGGCGATCTCGAGAGAAGCTGGCAGGGGCGGTGGAGTAAGCGGATCAGAAAACTCGAGAGAGGCTGGCAGGGGTGGTGGAGTAAGAAGGGTCAGTAAAAAACAGAGAGGGGGAGGGAACAGACAAACGGAAGAGAGAGAGAGAGGAAAACATTTTGTGTTCCCAAAAGACCACATGACGAGAGATACGAAGTCGTTGGGAGAGAGGATCCCAACAACGATACCCTTTATGTTCAATACCATAGCCCAAGAAGCAACAAAGGCGGGAACGAGGTTCAAGTTTGGTACGTTCATGAGGTTGGAGAAGAACAAAACAGGCAGAGCCAAAGACCCTAAGGTTGGTGTAAGGGGGACGGGTGCCATGCAGACGCTCATAAGAAGTGTGATTATGAATGACAGGTGTAGGGATACAATTGATAGTGTAAGCAGCAGTGAGAGCTGTCTCTCCCCAGAAATGTTCCGAACAAGAGGAAGATAGAAGAAGAGCACGAGTAGTGTCGAGAATATGCCGATGTTTCCGTTCATCACGTCCATTTTGTTGAGACGTACCGGGACAGGAACGATGAGGTTGAGTACCATGACTCTGAAGGAAGGAAAGAAAGTCAAAATCTTTATATTCCATGGCATTGTCGGAGCGAAAAAGCTTAATAATTTTAGAAAATTGTGTGTTAACCATTGCAGCAAAATTGTAATAAAGTTGTTTGAGCTCATAGCGAGTTTTCATAAGGAACAACCATGTAAAACGGGAAAAATCATCTATAAAAACAACAAAATAGCGGGCTCCGCCCATAGTGGGAGTAGGAGAGGGTCCCCAAATATCAAAATAGATGAGATCAAATGGTGCAAGAGAAACAGAGTCACTTTTATTAAATGACAAAGCAGGTTGTTTAGCAAGTTGACAGGACACACAATCTAAAGCATCAGAATTTACAGGACCTAAATGACCACTAGAAATTAAAGTTTTTAAACAAACAGCAGAAAGATGGCCTAAACGACAGTGCCAAAGCTGAAAAGGAGATAAACGAGGAGCAGTGGTAGCAGTGGTAGGAGCTGTGATCTGAGAGGAATCCGGAACATGAAGATGGATAAGTTCGTAGAGGCGTCCATGCTTACGGCCTATACCAAGAGTTTGCCCCGTCCGAGGGTCCTGCACCAAACAACCAGTATGGGAAAAGGTAACAATTAGACCATGCTCACATAATTGACTAATGGAGATAAGATTTAAAGTGAGAGCAAGCATAAGATAGACATGGGATAAAGATAAGTGAAAGGTGCAACATGACTTACAGATAGAAGAGACCCATCAGCAGTATGGATAGAAGGAACATGAGGAGTAAAAGAGAGAGGAGTAAAAATAGTAGAGTCAAAGGTCATGTGATTACAACAAGCGGAGTCAAAGTACCAGGAAGTGTTACCTGCGATGACAGACAAAGCAGTAGAGTGAGGGGTACCGGATTTTTGCCAAAAATGTTGAAATATGACTTCGACATCTGTTTGAGAGAAGACTGGAGTGGAAGGATCTATAGGGACAGGGGAAGGTAAATCCTCTGAGGCAGCAGCAGCAGTGCGTTGAGCAGGGAGTGGTTTAAACGGAGTCCTAGAACGATGTGAGGTGCTGCGGGAAAAATGCCCGGGGGAAGGACCATTGCGAAAAGCACGGGCGGGATTGCGGAAGCAATCTTGCTGGAGATGACCAGGTCCAGTCTTGTTGCAAAACCGACAGAGGCGAACAGGACAATTAACCAGAAAATGAGTCGACGGAAGACTGCGATTTTGATAGTAGTTGCAGAAAGTTGACTTCTGTGGTGAAGGTGGGGAAGGAGAACTCCGAGTCTGGGGAGTAGCAAGAACAGAGTCCACAGGTTGCGGATGGAGAGTACCAAACCGGGTTTCCTCTGACAGGAGTTCAGAAATTGCTTGCTCAAGAGTGGGTAAAGGAGTGCGATGAAGGAGAGATGCGCGTACTGGCTCAAAACGGAAAGTAAGAGCCATGAGAAACTGAACCAAGCGATGTTGGTCACGGTAAGTAATAAACAAGGCAGCATCCTTAGTACAATCCCATGGAGGTTCAGAAAGAGCGAGCTGATCCCAAACATAATACATTTGGGAGAGGAAATCATTAATGGTCTGAGTTGCTTCTTGGCGCATACGGTGAAGATGACTCAGAAGCTGATATTGGTGAGCAAGGCCAGTAGTCTGATAGCGTTCTTGTAAAAAATCCCAGATGGCCTTGGCTGGAGAGGAAGCAGAGTCAAGTTGGAACCGACCAAACTGAAGGCTGACAGATGTAATAGAAGTATTGCGAAACCAGGTAATGATCTGATAGTTTTTACTATCACAATCCTCCAGACGGTCGACATATTTGGCAGCGGAGTCCGTGGTGGCAGCGGATTCCGTGGTTGCTTGGATGGGTTTGCACACATCCCCAGTGATGATGCGCCAAAGTTTCTTTCCTTTGAGAAACCCAGACATAGCTTGTGCCCATAAGACATAGTTAGTCCCGTCAAGAACAACGGAAATAGGGTGGTTAGAGGAGTCGAGGCGATCCATGAGGGAAAAATCGTACTTTCGAGGTAGAATTTAAAAAATCCGAGGGTACCAATGAATTCAGAGGGTCGAAATCAGTAGGAAATGAGTGAACTGACCGAAAAATAGGACCAGAAAGGCACTAAATTGGCTTGTCAAAGTGAGTGGAGTGGTCTGGTCAACAAATCCGGTCAAACAGGATGATATCACGGGCGACAGTGATGATGTCACAGGCGCGGCGCACGTTAGCAGAGAGGTGCGCGGCGCACAATAGTAGAGGAGAGCAGGCGGCGCACGAAAGCAGCTAGGGCTGACGTCGGCTGACGTCAGAAACACGCGGCTCACGTTAGCAGAGGAGGCCGCGGCGCACAGTAGCACGGGACAGTGTAAGAGGCGCGTAGAGCGCGTCGGAGAACGAGGATGCGCGTGGCCTTAAGTTCTGGCGGCGCGTGGAGGCGCGTGGAACGTCGGCTGGTGATGAATTTGGTGGCGGTGGATTCGTCGTGAGGAGACGAAGGTACTGGTGTGGTCCAATAAGGAAGACAGATAAGGTCGAGATATGCAACAATCTGTCAAAATGTGATGCAGACGAAAGACACAGCAATCTGCGAAGAAGAAAAAAATGTAGTGCAGCGGAAGAAGAGACTAGGCGAAACACCTGTGCTCTGATACCATGTGAGATATGTAAGATATCTGAATGAATGTTGTAATTTCTATATCTGTTGGTTACAAGAGTAATGCTCATTTATAGAGAAAGCACCGAAAGGAGAAGACATAATAATGAAAGTGTGTGAGTGGTGTTTGGTCTTTACAACCGAAAGAAGAGGAGAATCCTATACTCTATGCTTTCTATGTTTTATCTTATAATATATTATACTATATACATTACATTATACATTAACAGTGCCAATTAGTTGAAGCCCACGGGACAATAATATATATTAATACATACGTTAATACTCAAATCTTTCTTGTAGTACCATAACAAAAAGATTAATAATGTGGTTTCATTGTTTTAAAGTAATTAGGTTTGCATAATGTGATTCTGTGACATCAATGTCAGCAACAACAAATCTGCTTTTTATTGACCTACTTTCCATTATTTCGATAATAGCAATATTATATATAAGCTAACAAATTTTACAATTTTTTCTTACTCACATCCAACGTGAGAATGAAATTTTGGAATTTGACACAAAACCCACTTCAATAATATGATAGGTAATATCTTAGTCCATAAACCAACATTATCGAGCTACTCACACTGTAGGTTCACAAAGCTGGCACATCAACCATAGCAGTTACAGCACAAGAAGAGTTCGCAAAAATGTCCTAAATAAAACCACTGAAAGAGGACAAGGACCAGTTCATATATATTCACTAGATATAAATTCACTAAATATACATCTGGTTTAACAGTTGGGTGTCAATAATACATCACCAGTCACAATTCAATCTAAGATTTTTGAGACTCATTTTATTCTTGATGATATAATAACATATTCTAACAAAACTTTTATTAAGAAGAGAACTGTAAATCAAAATTGATGGCATGAAACAAAGGTATAAAGGTCTATCAGACTAGACGCTGAGGAGCTCCTGCCCGTAAATCATCATTTGTTACAAAGAATACAACAGAGTATGTGAATTTAAGTCAATTTGTATACCTGCCAACAAAGAGATATCTATCAATACAAACTTCACAAACATTTGATCAAACAAGATGTTTTGGGGTTTTCTTTCTCTTTCATTCAAAAAAAATATATATTCGAGAACAAAGCGTGTGAAATGTTGAACAATGACAACAAAATACCACCAGTGTTGCATCACTATATTACAAAAAAAATTACCATTTCAGATAGGCAATACATTTTTAATTTCAGAAATTGACGACTATGCAGGACAAACTACAAAGAAACAGACAGGAGACATATATATATATATATATATAATAACATGAAAAGCAGCATAGTGTGACACCTGAGTGTGAATGAGAGTCTCCAAGAAATTTTCCTTTAATTTCTATGCATGTGTAGAGAGTCCGAAGACACAAATGTACTTTTTTATGAGATACAAGAAAACCAATTGCTCAAGTCAATAAAATTAGGGCTGAAATAAACGAAACAACTTCTTATTGTGGTAGTATTAAATTATAGGATTTTAGTAATCTCATCCAGGTACAGAAAATTACCTGTAAGTTACAACATTAAGCCGCCTTGTACTCACCGACACGCATCCATTTGGTACAAGACCACTTGTTCCCTTTAATAACAGGGCAGCTACCTAAAATAAGAAGAAAATTTTAAATTGCATATGAAGTCAAATATTTTTTGGAATAGGTTAAGCAGGGGTGAAAGAGGATGGCAGTTTTCAAGCTCCTTGGGAATGCTAACGGAGAAGCATGTGGCTTTACAACCAAAACGATTTAAAAGCTAAATCAGTTGGCACCTTCAACTTTCTTTCAACGTTGCATGAGTCAAAAATTTGGGGAACTGGGGAATGAAAACAGGTCATGCAACAAAACACAAATGGGACAAGTGATACAGAACACTCATGGATACTTATAGACTCTCATACTTTACATTAGTGTTCAAAGGTCTATCACTGCCAACCTCTCCCTCTCCAAGCTTGCCTTGACCTCCTCCTCTCCACCTCCGGTGATCCCAAGCCATTGAAGTGCCCGCCATCTTCCCGGACTACCTCTGACCACACCGCTCACCCACAATTAGGATATCAGCAATCTTAGGGATGAAGTTTCCAATAATAATAGGATTAGGTTTCCTATTTTGGTTAAGGTTTTTACTAGAATTTTCACTGTATTATTTAGGTTTAGATTATTGATATGGACTATAAGGCTGCGGTTAGGGTTCTGGCATCAGTTGACACTTTCAACTTCTTTAAATGTTGTATTATTCCGCATTCAATACTTGGAGGAGAACACGAGAAAAAAGAGTTCCCATTTCTTTTTCCTTTTCCTTTTTTTCAATCGAGGACAATGATGGAAAATGTTCATGGATACTCATGGAAAGAGACTTCATCATTTTATTTATGTCTTTAATATTTTATTTATAGTTAATCAGAATATTAGGAATGTTTAGTTTCTTATTATATTAGGGATTACCAATGATAATTAGATTAGTTTTCTATTTTGATTATGGTTTTTGACTTATAAATACTAGGATTTGCATTGTATTATTTAGTTTTAGATTATTGATAGAGTACAAGATTGTGGCCCTTTGTGTTAGGGTTGTGGCTCTCTTCTCTTTCCATACCACATACCACATTGACAAGTTTCGCCTATACAACACAGAAGAAACCAACTACTGATATCTATACTATTTTTTAACAGCTAATCAAGTGAAAATAACTAACCATGTAAACTTGAAGAATCCAGAGTAGCATCAGGCCTCATGCTCCAGAAAAGCAACGCATCACCCATCTTTGGTTTAACTGAAAGTCCCTTTTTCCCACATTCAGATAGCTCATTCCACCAAGGCACAGAGCTAATATTTCCTTTCGCAACAGGGAATACTGTCTCACCCCCATCTTCAACATCCGAGCTGTGCCAATGATAGCAATCGCCCAAATAAATATATATATATATATATTAGAGGGCCCGTACAAGAAACACAAAAAGAAATATTATGCAGAAAGAGGTAGTAGATAGATTACTTACAGGTACATTAGAACTGTAGCAATGCGTTGACCCCCATGCTTAGTGTTAAACTCATCAAGAAAGTAGTCATAGTGAGGTTCATATTTTTGGCCCACTTCATAATGGAGAACATGAAGCCCTTCCCCATGCTCTAAAAAACATGGCATCGACAGAAATTAATACCACGATCATATAACAATGAAGAACAGTTCAAACTTTAGGCACTAAATAAAGATTTTAGCAAATCTTATGGGTATATATTATCTGGTGAAAGGAAATAAAACAGGTATAGGAAAATAAAAATTCAGTAGTAGAATGGCCATAAGAATCTTGGCCCTGTGCAATGCTGGCGACAGTATGCCAAAGATATATACCTCAAATTAGCATTGTACTCCATCCAATTACCCTACCCTCAGAATCTAATAGCTAAAAAGTCCCTTTATAAGTAAGACAGTAAATTAACCGACTCTGAAACTAAGGGATATCTCTTCTCAGAAAGTCTTTTAACAATGTTCATAGCAAAATTATGCCACAGGAATTATAAAGAAACTGACTCTAGTGCAAAAGTTGTAGAAGGTTAAAATGCCATAGGACTCAAAGCAACGACAAGCTAGTTAGAACATAGCAGCACTTAAACCCAAAATCTCCATTGTATTAATCCAATAGAATGATGTATGAGTGAATGCAATTTTTGTTATGAAAAGAGCTTTGTACCTTCATCATCCAAACTCTTTCTTAGTTCAGAGTCCAGATGAATTGTGTATGGCTATTCCTTTGTTACATGAGTTGGATCATATAACTAATGCAATGAATAGCTCTCCCAGACAACGTGTGCCTAACTGGGATAATTACTATCTTAATCCATGACAGATCATAGTTTTGATCCACAAAGCCAAATATAGGGTTTTAGGCTCACTGATCTCTGTTGTTCCATGCATTCCAAGGCCCTATCAAAAGCCTTCTCTTTTGCACATTAGCATATGTTGAAATAAAATGAAAACTCACCAAAATTCAGAAGAACCTTTGAAACCGTCATATTTAAAGTCTAAAACGATTAATCAGTTGTTCCTCAGCCACATACATACCTTCAGGGATGAAGCTGAAATCTGCAATCCTTTTCTCAATGTTCCGGATTATTTTATCACGCCCTCTGGGCAGAAATGCACCAGAGCTCGTACGTACCCTACACAAAAAAAAAAATAATAATAATAATAATAATAATAATAATAATAATAATTGTCTCCACTTATGAGCATGTAAACGGGTATCAGTAGATGGAAGAGAAAGCTTCATCCGGCAAAAGTCAGTTTGAAATGACAACAGAGGAGGTAGGAAATGCACACCTACTATCTTTACTCTTGCCAGTTGCAGTATCTACAACCATTGACTTTTGCATTTGCGGCTTAGCAATATTGATTAGGTATGCACATTCATCCTTAGACTGCGACCCCAAAAATGAAATGAAGATTCAGTGATCGTTACTACTTATCTTAGTTAACATCAAATTGAAACCTCAATCAAGCATGAAATATATTAAACAAAAACAAAATCATAGCATCCTATCCCCCTGCCCAAAGTAATTCAGATTGCATAACTGATCTTTGCAGTTAACTCATGAAACGGACTATTAATTATAACAATGGTGCAATTGACACAGCACAAATTGAATATATCACAGATTTTTTATGTCTAGAACTCTTGAACCCTTAAACCAGATATTCTACCAAGGCAAAAGAGATTTCAATCATACATTGTATCTAATGCATGCTTGTCATGACACCAGTCTTCCCACGCAAGGGTGGAGAGAAGGGGGCTATTTGGATTTTTCGGAATCTCTTTTATAGTATAGCTACCATTTTAAAAAGTTTGTATAAAAAAGCATGTTGACCCTCCTCAAGCCTTTAATTAAATTGAAGGTATATATATGTGTGTGTGTGTATTTATATTTTTCAATCTAAAACATTAGAACTCCAAAAAGTAAGCCACGAATCTCTTCTTACTCTTTGTATCATTCCTTTTTCCAAATCAATCTGCAAATAATTTTTTCTCTCACTAAATTTACATAATATATACACACATTACTTCGGGAATTCTGTTATAATCTTACATTTGCTACATTCTTTCTAAACAAGTTTTAAAAGTTTGTTTTAAATAAATATTGAACATTCATTTCACTTTGTAGACCTATAACATTCCCGAAAAATATTTTAGTTTCAGCTAATATTGTTCTCAATACAACAAGTCTTTTATACACAGTAAATTATTTTATTCGTAATTTGTACATGCATTGATACATAACAAGTTTTTGCAATATTTATCAACATACAGATTCTTTACAAAATTCAATGAAATCCATCCAGGAACTCAAGTCATTCAAAATCTACAAAATTTGATAGCTCAAAGCATGCATATATTACAACCTACTGAAATGAGACAAATTAAATGCAATGTAAAAACAGAAAATTCGAAAAACTAACCAAGAAATTATGGTAAATGAAAGCTCTTGGCTCCCAAGATATAACTTCAACCCACTGATCTCCCCTCCAATCATCACCATCACTGCCGCGCCCAAAATCCCCGCAAAAAATCCAAAATCATGATCAGATCAAAACCGAACTCGAACAAATTGAAAGAATGGAGCTCGATTCAATGCAACGTACCTGTCTATGGTGTTGTGAACGATTGAGCTGAGATCGTGACCGCTTGGAGAGCCACGAGAAGCGCTGGGAATCGAGAGAATTCCGAGAGCGAGAAGGATGACAATGAAGAACGAGAACGTGATTAGCGTAGTGAAAATGAGAGTAGTAGGAGACGATTTCCGATACGGGACACGCGAGTGCCTCCCTTTTATCACCATTGTTGTTGTTGTTGTTGAAGCTTGAAGCGAATTGATTGAATGCAAAACCCTAACTCTTCGCAGAAGGAAGAACAAGATTGGGAACAATTGGAGATAGAGAATTGAAAGCGCTTTTTAAAAAGCTCTTTTTTTTCTTCAGAGTCCGCGCAAACAGTTTACGTGTTCGTTATAAAACGGTGGGCTTTGAGAAACCTGAATTTGAATGACTGGCTGTTTTTCTTTCCCTCTTAGTTTTCTATTTTGCATTTTTACCCCTGTACTTGATTATTTTTCTAATAGACTTCCCGGAAATTTGAATAATAATATTGATATTAGCCCAATGGCCACAATTTGTTGACATACATAAATTAATGTTCAATTATTTCCTTATCTTATAATGTACACACACAATGATGTGACAATTTTATCTCTCATATTTTCTTTAATTATTAGTCAATCATCTCTTGCATATCAAATGAACTTGCATATCATTTTTTTTTTAAAAAAATAAGCTTAATGTCTAGTACATTTCTTACTACTTTGTTCTCTTGAAATTTATAAATTAATGTTCAAAGTAAAGGTAAAGTAGTCAATTCACACTTAATCAAAATAATACGTTATATTATAAAATATTTTTAGCTCTTTAAACGCACTTCCTCCAAACTAAGACCTTATTGGTTGTGTCTAGAGCCGACCCTGAGATCTAGGAGGCCCAAGGCGACCTTCGGAAATGGGGCCTTTCTTACATTAAAAAAAAAATAAATTGATGAATAAAACGATAAGTTACAATAACTTTTTTATTTGTTTGTAGTCACAAAAAAATTTACTTACAACAACTTCTTCATCAACCAAACATGAACTTTCTATTTGTTTCTTGCTACCAAAAAATTTATCAAGCGCTCCCGATTGAAATTGAATAAAATTTTCTAATTTTTGCTTCTTTTTCCTTTTTTCACATCCAAAACTATACTTCCTAGGAGGCATGACTACTCTATATAAACATAAATCCACAAATTTTCTATTTTTCAGAAATTTTCTAATGTTTATACTTCCATAAATTTTCTAATATACTTTCAGAAATTTTCTAATTTTCTAATGTTTATTTTCTTTCAGTGACCCACGTTCTTAGCCTCGGTGGGTATTATATATTATGATATATGTGATGAACCTCATAAACCCAAACAACAGTGTCTAATACACCACAAAATAGACTAGAGAAAAAATACTTTGAAAAAACAACCTTAGCGATTTTCCAAGCGTAATGAGATCGTGACCTTCAATATTTTCATTTACTTTGATCATGAGAATTGTAATTCCAACAATCAAAACAATACGGCTTTGATCAAAGAAAATATAAATGTCACCCTTCTTTTAGCTTCCATTTAGAAACTGGAAAGAATTAATTATGTGATTATCACATGTCTGATAAATTTATCAGATTTAAGTGTCAGACAAACTAAAATTTGAGGTGTGAAAAATGTTATCCAAAATGGTTAATAAATTGCTTCTTGAGACAGTTTTTGTTAATGATCTTTGATAGTAGTGATTATATTATAGTACAATCAACATAATTCCCTTAACTAATTGCCTCTTGAGCTTTGGTCGGTGGATAATTAATTTCGGGCAACAAAAAACAAAGTAGTTCTTTTATATATAAAGTAGTTATGTGGATAATTAATTTCAGGCAACAAAAAACAAAGTAATTTTGGGCCCATGTCAGTTGGGACTCTAATCTGTCATATATTTTGTTTTTTTTAGGTCTTATATACAATTGGGCTTATAGTATTTGGATTTTTTTTTTTATATATCTAAAACATAAAATCATATTTTGGGGCCCTACTTTCAGTCCAAATCTAGGGGCCCAAGGCGCAGGCCTCTTTGGCCTGCCCTCAGGGGTGGGCCTGGTTGTGTCTTCATATAAGGTTGCCTTATAGATATGCGTTATTGCACTATAGTTTGATACAATTATTATCATATTTGTAATTAATTTTCTATCGGTTGGCAAAATAAAAAATTTACTTTCTAACTAATTTTATATTTTATATTTTCTCTCTTAACCTCCCCAAATAACTCCAACAACCACCTTTGATCGCCATTCCCTCCTCTACCATTTATGCCCTCATCATTCACAACCACGTCACCTTTACCCTATTTGCCAATCCTACCACCCTTAGTCCCATTACTTCACCATTGTGAAAAACCTCTCCAAATCGCAACAATGGTTATAATAACAAAACCTACAATCATGCGAGAGAGAGAGAGAAATAAATTTAAGGTTAAAAGCTTACAAGACTAGATTTTCAAATCTAGGATTTCAATGGGTTGGAATAGCCGAGGAAAGTGAATAAGGAAGAAAGGGTTGCCAAGGCGGCGTTAGGAAAATGATAGAATCGATAAGGAGGGTATAATGAGAGGTTGCTAGTAGCTACAAAAAGAATAAGGAAAAAATGTATTGCTGGTGGTAATAAGAGGTGGTAGCAATAGTAACTCAAAAAGAGTGAAAAGGTATTGCAGGCAATAGTAGTTGGAGATGGGAGGCGCGGGATAAGAAAAAAGTGTAAGTAAAGAGAAATTTTAGTTTGTTGTCCTTAATATTAAATTTGTTTATGGGTAAAGTTATAATAAATGAAACAAAGTTAAAAATCACGTATGCAAATTGCTAAAAGATGTAGTATAAATATAAACTCCCTAGAAACATGTGAATGTGGGTTCATGATTTAAGGTTTGATTTCTAGGATAAGCAAAACATATAAAAAGATAATAAATAAATAAATTGACGAAGACCTAGTTTGGTTCAATTTAAAACATTTTTTCAACGGGTTAGGGCCTTTTAGGTTGAGTTTTTCTTTTTTTTCCCCTCCCAAAAACTAAATCTTTAACAATAATAATAATAAACTACTAGAAAAACAGTTTGAAACAAGGCTTAATGACTTACTATATAACATTGCCAATGTTGCAGAGCTTAAATGTTTGATAATTTGTGATAGGGTTGTTTGTAATTTAGTTTATAAACTTTAGGGTTATGTTTGGGTCAACTGTTTTTTTTTTTTCTTTTCCCCCGTAAACTGGTAAAGCAGTGTTTTTTGTTTAATACTTTGTGCTTGTTTTAATACCTTGTGCTACATTCATAAAGTTGAAATTGTGCTGAAGCTTAGCTCAATTCAATTCAATTGCATGTGCGATCATCACCAAGTCATAGAAAGTACTTTTCTTCTCTTGACTTAGAAAATTCTTCCCTTTTCCACTCTTTTATTCATGTTCAATCTAGGGCCAAATCGTAATTTTAATCATAATAACACAAGATAAATGTAATTTAGCAAAGATCTCAGTCCTCCACCTTCCTCAAAAGGCCCTTACAATAAATACAAGACATCTCACACCCAAAATTAAAACCATACAAATAACTTCTACAGAAACATGTTTGGAGCAATGATCTCACTAAAACATGCATACAAATCATTCATTGAACATAAATAAATCGGCTATAGCATAAATCAACTGGGTTGAAGAAGCGGTGCAAAGAAAAACCCTAAAAAATGCCGAATGAGGCAGTTGGTGGAGGAGCAAGCTTGAAGTTACAAAAATTGGGAATGTAAGCTGAGAAGGTTCGGCCTTTGGTTGTATCCACAGAATCAAAGGCTGGTTGGTTCAAATATGCATATTTGCTCTTTGTCCACCTGCAATTTGTTAAATTCAATAAACCTCTGCTAACATATTGTTCACCGTCATTCAAATTAACACATATAATATTATAATTTGTCAGTTTAAGTGCTATGTCTCAAACCATGTCCTTGTATATCATCATGGAATTTTTTTGTGATTTGGGATTTGCCGTCATTTCTTCACTCCATTTGTTTCAACGAAAACATTTTTTTTAGTATTTGGAAAACATTTTTCATGGTTTTTAGTGTTTGGTACAAAGGAAATTGAAAGGTTTAATGGTAAATTTTTTGCGCTCTAATGAAAAAACAAACGTATTCAAACAAAATATTTTCACTTTTGAAAAATTAAAAACATTTTTTTGTAGTCAATGAAAAATAAATTTATTTAAGCGAAAATATATTTTTCAAAATAAAATTTTATCAAGGCCACCACTCCACCACCGGGCAACCCAACCCCTCACACCGCACCCCCATCACCACCGTCGTTGTAGCCACCATCCTACCACCACCACCAAATCCAACCCAACCCCTAACACCTCAGACAAAATATTTTCACTTCTGAAAAATTGAAAACATTTTTTGTAGTCAATGAAAAATAAATTTATTTAAGCGAAAATATATTTTTCAAAATAAAATTTTATCAAGGCCACCACTCCACCACCGGGCAACCCAACCCCTCACACCGCACCCCCACCACCGCCGTCGTTGTAGCCACCATACTACCACCACCACCAAATCCAACCCAACCCCTAACACCGCACCACCACCTCAACTATCACTGTCGCCACACCACTATTACTACCACCACCCCACAATCTCCGTCCATACTGTCACTACCACTACCACCACTCCAACACTAAAACTACCAATACCCATAACAAATTAGTTTTAAAATCATAAATAAACATTAAAAAATATTTTTTTATGAAAGATATTTGTCAAAACTAGCGGAGTGTTAACTCAAAAAAGATTATCTTTAAAAGTGTTGTGAAATCGAGAAATTAAACTAACCAGTCCTTTATTCCCACACGTAACTCTTTGCCATTCTCATCATTTCTGCTGGAGTCGCTGATGGTGTTATCATCAGCCTTATTGTCGTTATCCTCTTTCAACGACTCTTCGAAGCGCTTGTACTCATCCTCCTGAGTTACCATACAATAATGTTCAGCAAGTGTAGACCAAATCAAATTAATAAAGACTGTTATGCAGGAATTGAAGCTGAGAATGCTGAATTTTCAGGGCTCGGCAAACAGTTGATAGTTTGTTGATATTATTCAGTCACTCAACACCTCAATTCTCAATTTTCATATCAATTTTAAGTACATCACTAAACAATGTTAATCTAAACATGTATACAGAATAATTTTTGCCAAAGAAGCGATATGCAGACTCATGAGAGACAAGATGACAAAATAAAAAGCATAAGAGCTAAAAGGGGTGGTGAATATCATTTCCCTTATTGTTATGATTGCATGTAAGCAACTTCAGAGTACGCCTCTGAACTAAAATGACGCAGTGGAAACATCATACTGGATTAGATATTGTTTTAGTAAACAAAGAATTCCCAATTCGCGGAAAGAAAATCTTGAATCCACATCCACAACAAATTAAATAATTCTTAAAGAGAAGTTAAATTTTGTTAAAAGGTTGTTTTGTCCTTAGACTTGCATAGCTTTTTAATAAACCAAATCACTCAAAATTAGTAAAATAAAATCAAAACAAATTAATTACAAGATTCCTAATAAAATACTAATTCTAAAATACTAAAAATAAAAATATAGAAGGCTCATCAACAGAGTTCAATCTATTAAAGAATGGGTCATAATTAGAACCATACCGTAAGTTTGCGTGCCCTGATACGAGCTGCAGCCTTGATAGCACCAAGGAGATGATCTTCCTCCTCCATGCGCTTTAGCCTCCAGAACTTAGCAATCTCTTGATTTGTCACGCTCACTGTTTCTGTCTTAACCACTGGTTTTGTTGCCGCCCAGAATTTTGGCAGTGGTGGAGGCAGCGGCGGCGGTGGTGGAGGAGAGGCCTGTTTGAATTTTGCATTACCAGCTACAGTTTCCACTTCCATTTGCTTCATCCTCACCGACTCTGATAGTTACTAGCAGTGTGCTATTACAACATGAAAGAAGTCCAGAAGATATAAAGATCAAGTGATGGAGATCTATAGCTATCAATCACTACTTCTATGTAGCTACCTCCAAGTGATGGAGATCTATAGCTATCAATCACTACTTCTATGGAGCTACCTATCCAACCTAACTTTCAAAAAAGAATGATCAGATAGGATGTTGTGTATACAACTGTTTGGTAGTACCCCACAATGTTCTACTTCAAAGTCAACTATGTGCATCTATCAATACTAAGGCCTTGCATTTAAAGAGTAAAAGACAAGGGAACTCTGACTGGTAGATGAGAAGTGAGGATATAGACACCAGTCCAGATTGCAGAAACTCCTGGAAGATATACCAATCTAGTCCTTCGAACTGACAACTAACGCTCCATTTAGTTGGGGGACAAACATTCTGAAAAACATTTGCCGCATTTTTCTGGCATTTGGAGCGATGGAAAACCAAAGTTGACCAAAATGTTTTCCTCGGTCAACGGAAAATAAGTTTATTTGAACAGAAAATTGTTCGTTTTTAAAAGATGAAATCGGGACTAAAACCTTACCAACGCCACCACCAGCACCACTGCTGATGACAATGACATCGCCACCACCAACACCACCTTCACCGTACCATGACCACCACTGCCACCACCTCACCACCACTCTACCAAATTCAGTCATTAACGTTGAACAATCGATATGAAAAACTTTTTTTTCCATTTGTTAAAATTTTAATGCATTCACAAGCCACACATACGTTGATTACACATTCACAACCACCTCATCCTCACCGCCATCAATATGACAACCAACAGTTTGTGTCTATGACCGCCACCGCCACCACAACATATAAGTTTCAAAGTCACAATCGAATTAAACATAAAAAATAAAAATAAATAAAAAACAATTTCTACAGAAAATGTCAAAAGTCCAGCATATGGCAAAAAGCGGTTGCATCATTATGGTGAACCTCCAATGATATGGTGGATGAAATCGGTCAAGTCCGCTCAATAGTTACAACTCAATATAGTCGAATTTCACAACTCCATGTGGTTTGCGTACAATCAAATCTGGCTGTGGTTACACTAGTGTAACAAATGTTCAGATCGTAACTCTCAACTTTAAGATCAGCTACAAGGTTGCAAATCATACGCCCCTTCTTAAGGGTGCACACCAGGTAATTTCCTAAACAATAATTGATCAATCAGAATTTAATAACCACAGTTATAATTTTTTGCATTCGTTGCACCAAAAATGTCAATATTTTAATTTGAAATCACCAAGGTTAAAAGCTAAAAAAATTACTCTCTAAAAACAAACAGAGCATTGACAACTTCGACCAACAGAGCAATCAGATTGAAATAATTTACTCCTTATTCTGCAGGAAAAAGTGTAGCTCATGAACTGCACCGATAGTCATACCGGATTAGGTAAGAGATTCTTGTTGTAAGATCCAGCAACCCATACACTGACACTAACCATTTAATTTGATAGGTAGAACTACATGGCAGGAATGGAAATTTTAGCATTGCTAACGAAGATCAATAATTCTCAAGGTCAAACAGCCCCAAAATATAATAAATCAAAAGATATAAAGATTTGCAGAGGCCTCAACAGTCTGACCTCCAATCCTCAATTCCCATAGAATGTTTAGTTTAGAAGTCTAACAGACAGGGAGGATAATCTCTCTCTCTCTCTCTCTCTCTCTCTCATTTATTTTGCATAAAGATGAATTTGAAAGCAATTGGTTCTTCCATACTCTAATGCAAACCACTTGATTATTCAGTGTCCAGTCTTGTTTGACAATCAAAGATTACAGAAGTCCTTGCATCTATCCACACATACTTTCAAGTACCATGAAGCATATAATTGCAATAACATCAACAGGGCAAGCAGCTTTTCTGATGCAATACAAGTTACCATCGAAGCAAATAAAAATGAGTAAACCAAAAATATAGAAACCATATCTATAACCTCTCAGAAAATCCACTATTTACACTGTACAACAAAGTTTCAATTTATTAAACACAAGTACAGATACAGTTCTGTCAAAACATGATTGCTTTACGTTTTTTCTTCCCTACCATCCGACTTGAGATATAACTCTATAATCATCAGTAACTATTATAAGCCATTGGTGAAAAGTCCAACTTATCTGCCAAAAGTAATGCTCAATAGATCCTAGTAATTATCAAGGATCATTCCAGGATCAACTAGGTACATTCACATTACACCTACATTTTCTCTTTCTCTTTCTAAATCCCTTTCCAAATCGCCCAATCAAACACAGTGTAAGAATCTGTCTAATTAAGAGACAAGTACATTCAAAATAGCAAAGAAAAAGGTCTTGCCACCCTTCTAACAAGCTCTCTCCATTTTGGCTGCTTACTTTGAAGCCCACCCTGGTGACCAAGCCATCACCCAAAAGAAAAGCATAAAAAGATTTCTGAAAATTACTCTAACAAAGTAAAGTTCCTTTTGTTCACATATTTCATAGTCCTTAATTCCCAATGCATATAACAACCAAAATTCTGTCAAACAATCAACCACGGTGACTGCTCCAGAAATATTTTATGGTGATTGCAATATTCTTCAATGGTCCATCCATCACAAAAAGGGGGGAGGTGGATTAAAGCAAATCACTTGCCATGAGACATTAATGCTGGTTCATGTATTTGGGTAGGAATTTGGCAAGGGAAATAGAAAAACTAGGTGAGATGTGAATAAAATATAACTATATTTCACACACTTTTTTCCTTTCTTTTTCCAAATACTTACCCAAATCAACTAACCAAACACAGCATAAATTGAAACTTCCCACAGAAAAAAAAAAAAAGAAAAGGTAATGAACATTAAGAACTATCACAATCAGGGACAAAAGCACCATGGAATTCAATTATGTCCTGAGATTTCTGTCCTTTCATGATAAACATTTACATGAATCATACAAAAGTTACAGTAATTCTTGCAAGCATATGAACCGTTTGTAAATTGTATCCATTACAAACCCAAATCAAACACACCAAGTATACAAATATGAAATCCAAAAAAAAACCCAAACCCTCCCAAACAAAAAACCCAAGTATATGTATATATCAAAATTCTTCAAGTTTCAGAAGTAACCCGAAGAGCCTTAGTCTTGAATCGATACCTGGGGCTCCTAGGGATGACCTGACTAGGACCCATGTGAAACTGGCCAGGACTGTCGGTGAGAGGAGGACCATCGTCGTAGATGTAACCGACGAGAGAGGAACAGCTGTGGCACTTGATCTTGGTCCTCTTCCTCTGAATACCCCAGTAATTGAGGGTCTCGAAGAAAGGTCTGATCTTGTCCTCTTTCTCTAACTTGAATTTGGTGGCGTCGATGAGGGCGAAGGAGACGGTGCCTTTGTTGCCGGCTTCGAAGTAGAAGTCGGGAGGGAAGAGGTGGTTGGTGTGTAGGTTGAAATTGGCTCCGCATTCTGTGCAACTGTAGATCGACGCCATTGTTGGTCGCTGAGAAAATTGATATCAGCTATGGAGGGGAGGGAATGGGAAGAAGACGATGTTTTGAAAACGCGTTTTAACTTTGACTGAAAATTTTCAATGAATGGCTGAGTTGGGTTAAGGTTTAGATCTTAACTTGACGAATTTGACGGTACGTAGGATCCATTGGAACTAGGGGTGAGCAGCGGATGTATCGATCCGCCAAAATCGATCGAATCGAACCGATCCGCCGCATTTTGGACGGATGCGTGATAACGAGCGGACGGTTGCGGATTGATTTTCTCCAATCCACCAATCTGGCGGACAGATGGCGGATTTGAGATTCCATTGGCCGCAACCGAACCGCCAAACCGCAAGCACTCCTAATAATTTATAAGACTATGTGTTTCTAGTTTGTTTAAATATTCTGTTTGTGTTTTCAATTAAAAAAGATTCTGTTGAAAAAAAGTTTTCAACCTGAATATCTTTTTTGAATTAAAAAAATAAATGTATTATTTATCTATATTTTTTAGTTTTTAAATCTATCTCTAAAAATAATAAATAGAAAATATGATATATGCTAGTTGGTTTTTGTTTTCAAAAACAGATATAGATGTAACAATACAGAGACATACAATCTCTATTACTGCTATGTTTGTGGTTTTGGTGGTTTGAATTGTTTTTATATTTTAAGAACCACAGATTGTAATACTTTATGTGGATGAGGCATGCGGTGATGGAGCCTTTTGGTAATCTTTTTGTTTTTAATTTTTAATTTATATTTATAAAAATTTAAGAAATTATCATAAAAATTTATTTGATAATTTATTTAATTTATAAATTGTTGTCTCAATGTGTAAATTTGAGAAAAAAATATAAACTCAAACAATGAGTTTATATTAGTTTTTAAACAAAAATTTAAAAATTTAACTAATAAATTTTTTTTTCAAATAATTTTTTTTTCAATTATAATGTCTATGACCACATTATCATAAAAAATAAATATAAATATTTTAAGCTTGAACAAACAGATTTTTTAGTTTATGCTTTTAAAAATTTTCAAATATTTTATTCAAACTAAACGCATTTGTAATTTATGTTTTTTTAAAAATAAACAAAAATCAATTTATAAAATTTTTGTAAACATAAACCAAAAACGTAAACGTTACCAAACTCTACTTTCATGTTTCTGATTTCAAAAACAATATTCGGAAAATTTTATTTTTTATTTTTTGTATTTTAATATTTTAAATATTTTTTTTAATTTTTAAGCACACTTAATATAAATACACTTAAAAAATATATTATTTGTGAAATTTTTTTTAAAAAAATACACTAAATACCAAAAAATATAAATATAAAAATACAAAAATTCAGTACATTTTTCATATTTTTGTGTATTTATTAATTTTTTAAAATATTTTTCACAAATATTTTAATATTTAGATACATCTAAGTAAGATGCATTTTAAAAGGTAAAAAAAAATTACTTAAAATTTAGAAAACATTCACTAAAAATAAAAAATACGAAAAACAAAAAACAAAAAACAAAAAACTCAATTTTCAAAAAACTGAAACCAAACATCCTCATTTATTTTATTAGCCCCCCAATATATATTATGAAAAAATTAAGTTTAATTTGATAATCATAATTTTATTATTTTATTATATTTATGTTTGAAAAAATAAAACAATAAATATATATTTGAAATAGACCATTTATTTTTTAAAAAACAAATGTGATAAAATAAAAATATTACGATTATCGGAACGCTCTAAATTTTTTCATAGATAATATATAATACAGGTCCTATAAAATGAACGGTTTAAATTATCGAAACGAGACTTGTGTTCGGCCTTACGGACTACATAAGTTTTGTTATATTGAGATTCCAACACGAGAGAAATCCAACCCTTTTAAAAATAGAAAAATTTCAGTTCAATATTTGTTTGAAAAAATAATTATAAATAAGCAATAAATTTTATAAATATTAATAGTTAAAAAGTAATTTTTTCTCTCTTTATATTTGATCATTTTTTAAAAAAAATTTGGTCACTATTTTTTTTTCACTTTAACCCTTTATATTTCAAATTTTCCCGTTTTATGTCGCATGACTATCAATATGTCATTTTCTATTTAGTTTTGAACATAAGTTAACTTTTGAAATAAATTAAGGAAAACTTGAAGTAAATTGTATCGATTTAATTATTTAAAAATAAATTATCTCTTTTTTTTAGACAAACGTGATAAAATAAAATGCTTTCATTATCGAATTCACTTAAATTTTTTGTGCATAGATGATATACACAGAACAATATATAAAATGAATGATTCAAATAATCAAAATAGGATCCAAGGTGTGTCCCACAAATCCAAATAAGTGGAACTCTACTCTTTTTTCTCCACCAAAAATAACTCAACATAATTTAGTGAAATTGTAAGAGTATCTCCAACACTTCATTAAATTTGAGCAAAAATTTGATCCAATATAATGCGCTCCAATCGTTTCATTAAATCTGGCCAGTCATTTAGACGGTCATCCAGCCTAGAGTAAATTTTTATCAAATCTTTCCCAATTTGGTTATCCACTTGGTTATTTGGTTGGTCGTCCACCCGGTTGATCGGCCAGTTATCTACCAACGGAGTCACTAGCAAGATTTGATAAAAGGTTAAATGCTCCCTTGATTTGATGAGATTTTTTATTTTCCACTCATTTGATATGGGTTTAATATCACGGTTGGAGCCTAAAAAAAATGTGTTTCATCAAATTTAAATTTGATGACAAATTTGATACCAGGGTTGGGGATGAATTTGATGACAAATCTAATACCAGGGTTAGAGATGGTGTAAGTATGATGAGATTATGTCAAGTGTGATTATGAGTATAATAGAATTAAGCTAGAAAATTATTTGTTGAGGAAATTTTTTTAAGGTTCTTAGTATTAAGATTTTATAGAATAAAAGACATGCAATATTTTCATAGTAGTTAGGGTCTCTCAACATTTTTTGTGGAGAAATTTCGATTCAGAGAAATTTCAAAATATAAGATATTTCAGTCAAATTTTTGAAATTTCTCTAGTTTTCTCAATTTCTCTGATTTTCTTTGTGTTTTTAAATTTTTTCTGGTTTGAAATTTGTCAGATTTGGTAGCAGGTTGGTCTATTCTATCTTTTATTGAAAAAGGTACTCTAGTGTTAAGTCCATAGACAGAGCTAGAAGATGCCTAAACAATTGAAGGTTATGGATCAGTAAATTTACATACTTCAAGTAAACTAAGAGGTATTTTGGAAAGAAGGTTAAAAGCTAATTTTTTGACTTTTTAAATTTTTTTATGTAAGAGGTGATGTGATCCAAAATAGGTTAAAAACTGGTTTTTAGCTTTTTATGCATGTTCCCAAATGGTCCCTAACTAAACTAGCATGGTTGCTATGAACATAAGAGCTAGGGTTTTCCATTGCATACTTCACACCAGCTTAAGCAGCCAAATGCATTACATGTGTAAAAGTAACTACCTCAAAAAGCTTTTTCAAAAAAACTATGTCATTAATATCTCTTTCAACAATGGACACACAAGTGTGTTCAAGAAGAGCTTGTCGAGCTCGTTTCAATGAAGGGTCGTAGTAATTGTTGAAGTTGTCGAGTCCGAGGACATCGTCGCCACGGTGTTTCAAGGCAACGGAGACATGGGTTCCTACAAAACCAGCGGCGTCGGTGAACACTATGGTGATTACTGAGTACGCTGACTCAAACACCTAGCAATTTTTCATTGGAATCACTATTGATTAAGGTCAAAGGAGAGAGAGAGAGAGAGAGAGAGAGAGAGAGAGAGAGAGAGAGAGAGAGGGTGTGATATATGAGTATGAATGAGATACAAATAAATGAGCGAAGGACCTTAGGTTACAAAAAAAATATATTACGAATCTCTCCCATTATTAAAAGTTAGAAAATGATGTTAGACTAAACATTCCTAAAAGTACTTGGTGAATATTAAATTTATAAAATTATGTAAAATCATTGTTATATAAAAACAGATGACTTTTTACTTTTATAAAGTAAAAAACAAAATAATATCTTTACTTACATTTCTATGAAATTGGATTAAAAAATCCCACATTTTCCTTGAATGAAGGTATTCAAATCATAATATTTGTTTATAAATAAATATAAATTGACAAATGATATATAAATCTATTTTTTAAAATTATTTTTTAAGTGATATAATTGATTGATAATTAGAGAATATATAAGTGAGAGTAGTGCTTTTAATATTTTAATTGATAGTCACATTATTGGGCTTAAAAAGTTAGTCTAACTTTTAAGAAAATATTGGTTAATCTTTCAGCATTGCTCCACACCATTGATTAAAAGATAATTGCCTGATTATCTCTTAAAAACAGACAAAGAGATAATAGATCTCACTATTTTAATCAATAAATATTGTTTTTTATGAATTTTTCCTAGCTTATATACATACTTAGCTGGAATTAACTCTAGTTTTTCCAATTTAAATTTTTCTATTTGATGTTCTACATCTGTAGCAACTCCGACCTGTGATTAGCTAATTAACCAGGATTAATTATGCCTAATAAGTAATTAAGATGAAATCCTGAGTTAATTGCATGTGTTATGTGCTATATAAGTTTTTATTTGTCTAGCGTAGGAATATTTGTTTCTATTTATGTTTTGTACTGCCAATCGAAGGTTTTATAGGCATCCGATCACGAAATTGGCTTGGTATATGTATTAGTTAGAATTTTTAGAACATTATAGTAGGTTTAATTAAAATTCAATTCGGAACGAATTAATGCAAATTAATTAATGGTCATTGCTTAGACTAATTAAAGTCTAATTAGTTCACTCTTAATCAAGGTTATACAGGGCTTATATGACTAGACACTCACACCTACACACTCTCACTTCTTCATCTTGAGACACCACAACGTGGAAGAGAGAGAGAAAAGAGGAGTTTGAACTCAAACTAAGAGAATTGCTAGAGAACTTAGAGATTTTGGCTTAGAACTTCAAACAATTGATCATCTAGAGCATCATTGACAAGCCTAAGTAAGAATTCAACCCTTAGATTGTACAATTATGATGTGTAGAACATGAACTCTAAAGAATTAAGTTGGTTGATACAAGAT